CTATTTTTTTTTTAATCTTTTTTTTTTTTTTTTTCATTGATATTTTGCCTGCATGTGTGTCTGTGTGAGGATGTCAGATCTCAGAGTTAGACAGCTGTGAGCTGCCATGTGGGTCCTGGGAGTTGAACCTGGGTCCTCTGGAAGAGCAGTCAGTGTTCTTACCCACTGAGCCATCTCTCCAGCCCCCCAATAATAAATTTTTTAAGAGTTAAAAAAAAGTATTGTCTTTCGAGGAGAAAACATAGAATTTAGTTAATGCCCCCCCCAATGTTGGGGTTGCTACACATGACATTAGTGTGTATCTGTCTCTGTGTCTCTCTTCCTCTACTAACCCTCCTATTTTAGCAAGGATTATTGAATCCAGAGCCTTGCACACACTAGGCAAGCATCAGATCTACCAGTGAGCTTATGTACCAGCTTTTTGGTTTTTTGTGCTTTGGGCAAGTGATTTCTTGATCTTTGACAGGATTCTTTTAAAGTTGCTGTGTTGGTGTTAGATGTGGTAGCCTCCAGCTTTAATCTCAGCAGAGGCAAGCAGATCTCTGAGTTTGAGGCTGCATGAGCTACAAAGTAAAACCCTGTCTCAAAACAAAACAAAACATGTGCTGCACAGGAATGAAAACTAAGTGTATGGCCACACTCTTTTATATAACAAATAACATGTGGTCAGTTTCAGTTGGATTACTATTATTATTGAAATGTCCTTTAACGGAGTTAACAAGAACACTTACAAAGTTCTAGCATTTAAATTGTGAAGTTAAAATTGTCTTATTTTTTCAGTACCTACTGCTAAGTCTGTACTGAACTTTGGAATAAATGTTTATTTAATTACTTTACATACCAGTAGGTTTCATACAGATGGGTTCTGTGCTGCAGTCATGGCAGTAATTAAAGAAGTCATGTATTTATTTTTTTAATTTTTATCTATTTCTTCCTTGGAGTTGGGGGGTATACACGTCAAGGCTCAAGTGTGGAGTCAGAGGACACTTGTGGGGGGTTGGTTCTTTCTGTCTACCAAGTGGGTCCCAGATTTCAAACTCAGGTCATCAGGCTTGGCAGCAAGTGCCTTTACCCACTGCGTCATCTCAGTCCTCAGGATTCATATACTTAGGAAGACTTAGATGTCAAGATTATAGGTAGGGGGCGCTGGAGAGACGACTCAGAGGTTAAGACCACTGGCTGCTCTTCCAGAGGTCCTGAGTTCAGTTCCTGGCAACCACCTGGTTGCTCACAACCATCTATAATGAGATCTGGTGCCCTCTTCTGGTGGACAGGGATACATGCAAACAGAATACTGTATACATTATAAATAAATAATCTTTTAAAAAAAGATTATAGCTAGGATTTTAGCTTTTAGTTCTTGAGCAAAACTACTGGACTGGATGAATAGGCATTTTAAGTAATGAAGTAAGAAAATGGTCATATTAGTAATAACTACCCAGATGAGTCAGTTGATTCTAAATTTTATTATGAAGTGAAGAACTGGGAGGTTTTCCTAGATCAAGACTGCACAAACTGGGTCCAAGTGCCTACCACTTGTAATTAGGACTTTATTGCAACACAACACAACATATCCATTCACTTACTTCTGTACGGCAATGGCAAAGCAGAGTATTTGCAACAGAGACAAAATTACTTCAAAGCCTAAAATAGTCACTTGGTTATTCAACAAAATCAGCTGATTATTAAATTTAAAATCTGAAGAATGCTTCAGACTACACAGTCGATAATAACACTAATTGGAGTTTTGTTTTACAGACCGACCTTCCAGAACTTGATACACCAGAATCTGCCAGAACAATAGCTTTCATCTCGTGGCTTAGAGAACAAAGGCCATTTTTCCCAATACTCTATGTAATCAGGTAAGTCAGATTTTTAATGTGTCAATTAATGTCTGGCCTTACAAGGACATGCTTAGTATGTGTATGACCTAATTTGTAAGTAAAACTTTTAAAAGAACATAGGAGCGTCGGGGATGTAGCTTAGTTGGTAGAATCTTATGTAGCATCTCGGGGTTCAATCCCCAGCACAATATAAAACAGTGCATGGTGACACATGCTTGTGAGGCCAGCACTGGAAGATGAAGACAGGAGCATCAGTTTAAGTTCATCCTCAGCTAGAATGAGTCCAAAGCCAGCCTGGACTACATGAGTCTCTGTCTCTCTCTGTCTCTCTGTCTCTCTGTCTCTCTCTCTCTTTTTGAGACCAAGTATCTTTGTAACAGCCCTGGCTGTCCTGGAACTTGCTCTGTAAGGGCTGGCCCCAAACTCACAGAGATCTACCTGCCTCTGCTTAGTCTACAGAGTGAGTTCCAGGCCAGCCTGGGCTACACAGAGAAATCCTATCTTGGAGAACCAAAATAAATAAATAAAATGAAATAAAAATAATATAGAATAAAATTTAATTCTTTTCAATAAAGTCATCAACTATTCATGATAACCAATTATTAGAATTACTAAACTTTCCTGGGCATGGTAGTACATGCCTTTAATCTTAGCACTCAGGAGGCAGAGACAGGCCAATATCTGAGTTTGAGGCCAGCCTAGTCTAAAAAACAAGTTCCAGGGTAGGTGTGTACAAGACTTTTTCTTTTGGTCTGCCACCCAGCCAGCTTCCAAATCATGACATGGAGACTTACTATTAGTTTTGAATGCTCCACCTAGCTTATGCTTGTTTCTGGTTATCTCTTTTAACTTAAATTAACCTTTTTCTCTTTATCTACCTTTTGCCTCAGGGCTTCTTACCTTTTCTTACTTTCTTGCTATCTCTGTGTCTGGCTTACTGACAGTCGCCTGCCTGGCTTCTTGCCCCAGGCATGTCTCTGTCTCTGTTTATTCTCTCTGCCTGGCAGCCCTGCCTGTCCTCTTTTGCCTAGCTATTGGCCATTCAGCTTTTTATTAGACCAATCAGGTACCTTAGGCAGGCAAGGTGAAACAGATGCAACACATATTTACTAATTAAACACACATCCTTACATTGTTAAACAAATGCAGCATAAACAAATGTAACACATCTTTGCCTAGTTAAAATAAAAATCGACAGCATAGGTGTTTTGCCTATATGTATGTGTACCATGTGCATACCTGGTGCTCTTGGAAGTCAGAAGAGGGTATTGGCTGCTCTAGAACTGGACTTAGAGGCAGTTGTGATCCACCATGGAGATGCTAGAAACCAAATGAGCCCAGCCTCTCTGTAAGAGCAGCAAGTGCTCTAAACCACTGAACCTTCTCTCCAGCCCCTAGACATAGTTATTTATGCGGTCAAAATTATTTTAATTACCACAGTAAATCAATAACCTATGAAAAAAATTCCACGGTTTATCTTCTGTATCTAACGTACATGAACATTCTTGCCTTTTATTTCTAAGGGAGGAGAGTCCGATGAAAGCAGCCTTCCTTCAGAACCTGGTAGAAGACAGAACGGAATCCGCACTGTCTTATTATGAATTCCTTCTGCACATACAGCAGCAAGTGAACAAGTGAAGAGACCCGGGGCTGCTGAGGAATCCATGCAGAGTTCCTGAGAGCGCAGTACCTTCTCCTCCTTCAGACTGTGAACAGATGTGATGATTAAGATGTTTCACTGTGATTTCAACAACTATAGCAAATAAAGGACCACAGCAGAGAGTCAGATGTGCAACTCCAAAATACTGTATTTTCAAATCAAAATAGATTGGAAGCCTTTTTTTCCTTTGCTGTCAACTATGTTTGGTTGTTACAGATTGACATGAGACAGTACTGCAGAGGCAAAGTACATTTATAAAATAAAGACTCCGTGTTCTGCATTTCTAGTTCTCATTTTTTTTATTTTTCTGAGTTTTTGGCTGCTACATTAAAAAACCTCACAAAACTAAGTGTTGCAGAGAAGTTTCAAATCTCTCAGTAACGATCTTTTTAAATTGGAAAGTCTGAAAGTCAGCAGACTGTAGAAAAGCCAGAATCCATTCTCTTTACATTGTTCTTGCCCCGCCCCCAGCCTTCTTTTTTAAGGACGGAAAGGGATCCTGTTAACAAAGACTGGAGTAAACCAGCTCTGGCCTTGCTTGGGAAGGGTGTAAAGGAACTGTCAAGCTTTAAAGTCATCAGTATTCTCTCTACTTGAACAAAGTCACTTTAATTTGAGGTGAAAACTGTAATTAGGTGATTTTCTGCTGTTTTATTCTGCCATGAATAGAATTAGAGCTGTCTTCATAAATATATCAGGACTGGCAATGATAACAGCGGGAAATTCGGGTTATCTGGATTCCGAGTGAGTTTTTGTTTGGGACATTTCTGCTGTGGCTGATAAAAAGTCAAAGTATTTTGGTAAAATGAGAGTAAAAGAAGTTAAAGGTTCTATAAATGCTGTCTCAGAGTGCATCAATATTTCTCTAAGGAGTTTAATAATTAAATTGGAAGCCACTCATATTCTGGGATGTTAAAACCTGCTAAAGTATGAATGCTGCTGTTTGAGTTGGTGGCTATTAAGATTGTACAAATTCATCATATTAAAGTCATAAAAGAAACTTGATTTCTGAACACTCTAAAGACTGCTTGTTTTGATTCAGTTAGCGGATTATTAAAGTCAGACTATCAGATGGCTTCTGTTTACAAATAGGTAAATTATCCATGTGTATTTAAAGTGCTGTGATGTGTTTTTCAAAGAGTTTGGCTTAGTTTTCACAGGTTCACCTTGTCTTGTATGAACTTCTTCAATGATGTTTGTGTGTAATACGTAATGAAGAGATTTTTTTCTGTTTTTTGTTTTCATAGGTTAGAAATGTGTTTACAATCCTGGTCTCACGTGATCACCAATGAAATAGTAACTTTCAGGTTTACACCTACATGGGCTGACTTGAACTCCTGGGAAGGGAAGCAGCAGGTCCCTGGAGTATACAACTACTGTTTGCCAGCTGCTTCCGAATAACTGTGCTTCATGAGAATAACAGTGTTAAGGTTCTTTTTAAATTACAAGCCAGACATGATGGTACATGCCCCTAACCTGGTACTTGAGAGGCCAAGGCCAGAGAATTGTTAGCCTGGGCTACATATAGCAAGTGCCAGATCAGCCAGACTTTGTCTCAAAAAAGGTGATTAAAAATATTAGTACACTGAACCAAATTTCTCTTGAAAGCTGCTTCATTTATTGAGAAGCACTTTTCAAGCTATAACCAATTAAATTTATATAATTTCCCCCTCTTTTTAAGAAACAGCCATTATTGTACTGATGTTCCTTTAAATGAACTAAAGTTCTCTTTAATGTGATTTTTAAATGTTGGTATTTGTAGGTTCCTTCTTTGTAGTAAGGAATCTTCCAGAGGGAAGTGTTGCACTCCTAGGGAAACCTTCCTTGTGCCTCAGTCCTTCCCTGAGTGAGGGAGTCTGACCCTTATTAGCTAGCACCTGCTTGGTTAGTTATTTCACAAATTTACTTTAAATTTTATTTTAGATATCATGTAATGTGCAATCCAGAGTAATTTTATAACAGTTATAAAAACATAACTATTTAGGGTTCATGATTTTCATTCTCTAGATAAGAGAATGAACCTTTGTGGAATATTGATATAATTATTTTTGCGATATTGAATGTGTTTTTTAGTTTGTTTTGTTCTAGCAGTAAGACACTACCCATCCTATCATCCTGTATTCCTTTCTGATGTAAAGCAACTAATATTTACACTATGCCATATTTTTTTTATTGTAGTTGTAAATTATGAAAGATCCTTGAATTTTCTACAGATCTACAACTACTAAAGTAACAGACAAGGGAAATCTTGATATATAAATCTGAGCATGGCAGTTCGACCATAAAAAGTCTCTATTTTTCTAATTTCTAGAATTTTTAAATGTTTCTCTAAGTCTGACATACTAATATTCACTCAAGCAGTACCATTTATTTTAGCTTGCATATATTTTAATTTAATGTAATGTATTGAGTCTAATAGACTGTTTTGCAATAATTAGAATAAAAGATTTAAACTTCTAATCAGAGATGCATAACAGCTGTTACCTAGGGGACCACCAAATGTGATTTCACAGTTTTAACTATTAGAAACACCATCCTTACATAGAAAATTTAATTTTGTAAAGTAGTGTATAATATTGTAACATTAAGTCCTTTGTCTCGAATCAAAAATAAGTATTGATCTTCAATGTGTTGTGTTCAGTCTCGCTTCTCTGAAATGTTAAGAAACAAGATTTTTCTTCCTTTTTATAGATTGTAATTTTCACTGTTTTATTCCTGTTTTTAAAAAAAAGTCATTTGTAACCATGCAAACAATCGTTTGATCTGTGCTAACTTATGAATTTGGCTATTCAATAAAGTTAATTAAAAGAGCTTATAAACAGTGGCTGGTTATTTATAGTCCAGATTGGTAGCCTTGCCTCTACAAGGTTTTATTTTGGAGGATAGGCTCTTATAAAGCCTAGGCTCACCTCTAGCTCACTATGTAGCCAAGTATAAAACCTTTAACTTCTGATCCTCTTGCCTCTACCTCCTAAGTACTAGAATTACAAAAGTATGCCACCATGCCTGGGTTTATGTTGTACTGGGGAGTCAGGGGGGCCTTCATTTGAGCTGGGCAAACACCACCAACTAAGCCATATCCCCAGCCTTAAATTGAGTTCTTGATGCTCTGCAAGGGTAGCTAGGTTTGAAATTCTAACTGCTGGGATTAGAAGTATAAGCAATCATGACCAGCACTGTTTTCCTTAATTCTTGTCTTTGCCTAAACTGGAGTTTAGTGTTGATTTTATATTTGTATGGCTATATTTTTTATTTCCAAGATTGACTTTAATGGCCTTGTGTTTTTAATTCACTTTTTATTTTACTCAACAGGTTTTTGTTGTTGAAGTTTTTAGAGACAGGATTTTTCTCTGTGTAGCCCTAGATGTACTTGAACTCACTCTGTAGCCCAGGCTGGCCTTGAACTCACACAGACCTGTCTGCCTCTGCCTCCTGAGTGCTGGGATTAAAGGACCTCTGCCCAGCTCAATAATGTGGGTTTTTTTTTGTTTTGTTTTTGGTTTTTTTTTTTAACAGTTCCATTCATTTATTTAACACATGTCAGGCACAAATTATAAGCTACCTTAAGACATTTAGCTGGGTGGCGGCGGCGGCGGCGGCGGCGGCGGCAGCAGCAGCAGACGCCTTTAATCCCAGCACTCGGGAGGCAGAGCCAGACAGATCTCTGGGAGTTCGGGGCCAGCCTGGGCTACTAAGTGAGTTCCAGGAAAGGCGCAAAGCTACACAGGGAAACCCTGTCTCGAAAAACAAAACAAAAAAAAAAAGACATTTAAAAAATTTAGTGAACACACAAATGACTCATCTTCTTTACCTGCACATGGCACTGGAATGTGACAGCAGATAGAGGGAACAATCCAGAAGTTAACATGTCACATGTGTTTGCATTTAGAAACTACATGCTTCTTCATGTGCAGATGAGATACTAAGGCTGTAACCCTGCTAACCTCTGGAGAGGAAGGTACACAGTTCAGTCTGATTTGTGACAATTTCTCAGATGACAGTGGTATGTGGATGACTGGGGGAAGCTACGGTTACAAACTGAGCAGGTGTAGGGCTGCTCTCTCGTGTGAATCCTCTCATGAGCCTGAAGATTGGCTTTACTGCTGAAAGACCTTCCACAGGAACTACATTGGAAAGGCTTATTTCCCTTGTGTCATGACTCTCAGGTCTGAGTGCCTATAGAAGCCTTTATGACACCTGGTACAGAAAAAATAATCTCTCCTTGTATATTCTCAGGTTGGCTGAAAGTCTACAGGGATATATGAAGATTCAATAATGTGTTTTTAATGCATATAAACCACTTATTTCTGAGCATCTCAACAACTTATTGTAAAACTTTTGTTAAGATTCTCAAGTTAACATGATGATAAGTTTAAAGACAGACAGTCAGGGCTACACAGGGACATTGTCTCAAAATCCAAAGTGAACAGTGACAAAGGGTGACACCTGACTTCAACTTCTGGCCTCCATACAAGTACACACACACCCAAAAGTGCTCTGACAAATGAACATAGACACATAAGTATGCACATACAGAGAGAACAAAGTTTTCTGAATCGGAGGTAAAAACAGTAGTCAGGTTCACTAACATAAGCTTGTGAGCAGCTTGCTCAAAGCTGAAATATTCATCCTTATATGGCTCAAATGATACCTGAAGCCAATTGGTGATAGGCACACACCTTTAATCCAAGCACTCTGGGGACAGAGGCAGGCAGACCTCCTGAGTTTGAAGCCAGCCTGGTACAGGCCGTTATGAGACAGCCAGGGCTACAAAGAGAAACCTTGTTTCCAAAAACAAGCAAAAAAACAAATGATACTTGAAGCCTTGTAGAAGGCACTTTAACTCACATTTTCCCAACTTCCATCCCTATCAAGGTGACCACAATGACTTTTTTGAGCCTTCAACTTGAAGGGGTTTGAAATAGGTAGATAAGCACTCTGCTTCCACAGAAGTGCACAGGTATCTGAAAGAAAGTAAAGGAGACGTGAGAGGTTTTGTTGATATTGTTTTTCTAATAAAGGCAGGTAGTCTGCCATCGACCAATATTCCATAAATCTCCCCAACTTGGTAAACTTAAAAAAACACACACACACACACACACATCTTTTCCCCTCCAGAGTTTCCTGCTGCCTGGAGCATAGACAGACCCCTTTACCTTTTTCCCTTAAAGTTAGTTTTGAAAGACTAACCAATCTCGAACGTCAGACCCCAGCCAATGAGGAAAAGACATAGCCACCACCTGTTAAAATAAAAACCAGTGAATGAACCTCCTGCCTTAGTTTGGATCCTGACACACCTTTAAAACCTGAAAGCCCAGTCTGGCGGCGGCGGCGGCGGCGGCGGCGGCGGCGCATGCCTTTAATTCCAGCACTCGGGAGGCAGAGGCAGTCGGATCTCTGAGTTCGAAGCCAGCCTGGTCTATAAAGTGAGTTCTAGAACTAAGCAGAGAAACCCTGTCTTGAAAGAACAAAAAGCAAAAACCACGAAAGCCCTATGAGCTACTTTGCTTTGTTCTTTTGTAGGGCACCAAGATTACTGTTTTCAGCAGACACAAAAAGGAAAGCGGAAACGCCAAACTTCATCTTTGTCACCCCAGGGCCCCAAGAGAGAAGTCAATGCTTTTTAGCAATAGCAGCTTCTGAGTGTCTGTTTAGGGGATAAAGGGACACAGAATGCCATCACCAGGAAAGTCTCATCTGTACTAAGTACATAAGGAAAAACTGTGACGAAACCAGGCATACACTTGAAAAAGAGTGCGAGATGAAAATCAACACCCAACAAACCCCAGCTGAACTGCTCCCTAAACCATCCTCCTCCTATTGCGTCATTTCCGCCCACGAATAAGGCCCGCAGACTGGACCCAGGCGCCTGGCGCTACAACCTCCATTTTGCTTTCTGGCACCGACGTCGTCTCAAACTACGCCTCACTTGGCATGTTTTTTCCACCGCTCACGCCGCGTGCCGGCTCTCTACACTTCCGAGAGAACAGCAGTGACATCAGCGGCAAGTATTCATGCGGTGAAGGCAAGGCAGAACTGTAAGAGCCCGACAAGGCCCGCCAACACCCGACGCTCTACCATGCCCAGACCCAAAATGGCGGCCAAAGCCCAACGCGCGACACATGGGCGCATGCCCAGTCGTCCGAGACGCCGTCATCCAAGATGGCGGCCAGGGCCAGGCCGGGGACGGGGAGGAGCCAGGCGGGGGGGACCGTGCCCTTGGCGCTTTCGCGAGCATGCGCAGTCTCCCGTCACTCGCTGAGTCAAGATGGCCGCCCGGGCGGGCCGTCCAGGCGCTCCTGGGCGGGCGCGAACGTGCACGCATGCTCAGTCGGCCGCCTTACCGCTTGGCTGGGCGGGGCTCGCCTGTGAGGTGACGTCAAGGTCGGGTCATGGGCGCTGGGCCCCTTCCCCGCCGCCCCCGGCACCACCGCGCCTGAACTAGGGGAAGTCGACTTGGGCGAGGTATTGACCGTCGTCAGAGCCCACCCTGGGCGGGGCGGCGCTCGCCGGCCATCCCCGCGCTTCGGCGCCCGCGAGCATCGTCCTAAGCCGGTCGGTGGGACCCAGAGCTGGAGACGGGAAGACGGGAGGGTGCCTGGGAAGACACAGTTTGGCCACTTCAATGGGGGTGTGCTTCGTTTTCCTTAGGATGGGGTGTGGCTCGGTGGTAGAGCTCTTGCCCAGCGGGCACCGAGGCTTTAGATTTCGTCCCCAGCCCCGGAAATAAAGTTAAGAAAAAAAAAAAAAAAATGAAGAGGGGCATGGTGGATAATCCCAGCACTGGAAAAGGGGGAGGCAGAAGGGTGAGAAATTCAAAGCCATCTTCTGACAGGTAGAGGCCAGTCTGGACTACGTAACACCTTTAAAAAATTTTTTTAAAGATAAGATAATAACATCAAATGGCAAATGTACGTGTTTATTTAATGGATTCTTATCCCGTTGGTCATCTTGATATGCCCTAACTTAGGCCAGTACCATGCTGTCATTACTTCCGCAACTGTGTTGTTCAGTTCAGAAGTAAGTTAGATGGCTGTTTGAAAGAAGCGACATGGAGTCTGTAGGTCTGTCGGAGTATTGCCATCTTTAATCCATAAACATGGATGGTATTCCACTCTGATTTTTAAAATGATCATCCCTTGACAAGTTCCTTTGACATGTGTAAAATGTACTTCTCACACCCTCTCACCCCACTCCCATCGAACCCTTCTTCCCGATAAGTTCCCCTTTTTATTTCCATGTCTTTACATTCTTTAAATTACTACTATTGTGTCTGTATACGATACACTAGTGTGAGTGCCTGCAGATGTGTGGAGGTCAGAAGACAACTTTATGGAGTCAGTTCTCTCCTTGAGCCTTCTATTTCTCCTTTCTTTTGGGAGACAAGTTCTCTCTGTGTAACCTTAGCGGTCCTGGAACTTGTTTTGTGGACAAACGAGGCTCAAGCTCAAGAGATCCTCTTGCCTCTGCCTCCTGAGCTCAGGGATTAAGAACATGTGCTACCAAGCCAAACCTGGCTTCTCCTCCACCTTTATGTGAGTTCTGGAGTTGAATTTGGGTCACCGTGCATACATAGCACACACTGGCCTCGTGTGTGTGTGTGTGTGTGTGTGTGTGTGTGTGTGTGTGT